AGACTCTGATAGAGACCAGCGCTTTACAGACATAATTTGTGCATTATGTGAGAAGTTTATTAAGAAATTACTGATGTCCTCATTGAAAAGCTCTATCTGTTGCTTCATCAGTATTTTCCATGGGAGGGCTGGAGGTCCTGCCTGAGCTGAATTTTTACCCCAAACCCACCAGAGAAGGGTAAGATGGTCCTGATGTGCACACCAATGCATCCTGCCCTTTGTCCTGGGATGGAAATTGGGGTTGTTTTGCCCCAGGGTGRCAATTCCCCCTGCAGAGCAAGGGATACTGCTGTGTTGGTGATGCCACTGCACATCACTGGGTCCATGGTGCTCCTGAGGTGTGCAGAGCTGGGATTTCCTGGATTACACGAGCTGCTCAGCCTCAGTGAAGGTGCCATGTACTGCTCTGGTACTGAACCTGCTGTCCTGGCTCCTTAAGGGGTTTAGCAATTGCACATGGAAAATAAGCAATTAGCAACAAGGGCTGCTTTGTTGCACAGCGCTGAGCTGGCCAGGCTGAGGTGGGGCTGCCAGGGCCGGAGGAGGGAGCTGGATGGACTGCTCTGGGTGCAATCCCGKGTGGTTCCCTCCCTTTGTGCAACAGAAACTTGGAAGGGCCCACCTTCATTGCAGCAATGCCTTCAGGAGGAGAGGGAGGGAGGGAGGGGGGCTGGCCTTTTCCTGAGGGTGAATCTCGGYTGAACACGGTGATGGGAAGGGGCTGACAGCTGCCTGCCACAGTCAGGATTAGCCAAGAGGAGAAGGGTGCAGGGTAGTTTCTTGGCTGTGCTCTTATTCTTGCTAAGGATTSCAGGGGAAAGCCACCATCACCCCCTGGATGGACCATGCTGTCATTCCCATCMCTCTGCCCTCCCCACTGCCCAAACCCTCTCCTCCAGGCAGGACAGAAGCTGCTATCAGGGTCTCCCCTTTGCTCCATTTCAAGCACATCCCCTGTGCACTGGGCATCAGGGCACTGGGCTCCCATCCCATCTGCCTCTTTGGCCAGCTCTCTGGGTCCCAGGCACCAGCAGGTGGGCAGCTCAGCCAGGGATTGCTGGGTGGGACCACAGCCAGGTGTCCTCCTGCCACCCAGGAGAGTCCTGGCAGCACACGGAGCAGGGAGCAAGGTGCGCTTGTGCCTCATGGCTCATTGCACAGCTGCAGTGGTGTTTGCCAGCTGGGCACGTGCCTGCAGCTGGGGATAACGCTGGCAGCCATCTGGGCTCTGGCTCAGGAGCTCAACAGCCTATTTGGAGGTACAAGAGCGTGTTCTTGTTGTTTGAGTTGATGTTTGGGCTGGCAGGGCTGCTGTCAGAGTGCCTCAGAGAGGGATGGCTGGCAGCCCCAGCTTCCCTTCTGCTGCAGGAGCCTCATGCGTGGCTGGATGGGGCTCAGGGTCCCCCAGCCCTGGAGCCCTGTGAGAGAGTCTTGCTGACAAAATGCATCCTCAAGGTGCTGACCTACTGCTGCTGCCCACCCTGCCCTCACAGACTGGCAGCGCTTGGCAAGAGGTGGGAGCAAACCAGGGAGCTCGAGCAAGGAGTTGACTGGTTCTGTAATAAACATCCAGAATCTTGCAGATCCCCTGTTTTTGTGGCTTTATCCCATCACTGTTGGCCGTGCTTTCCCCATTGGTGAGGCAGAGGCTGTTCAGCCCTCCTCTCTGGGTACTATTCTGCATGGGTTCATGCAGTGCACAGTGGCATTCAGWGACCTTGCAGCCTTCCTCACTCTGWTCACAGTCACCCTGGCTCTGGCCTGGCATTTTGTTTCACTTGATGTCTTTTTGGCCTGGCTCCTTGATTCCCCAGGTGCCTGTAGAGTGAGGTCCTGGCAATGTGGCCACATSAGGAAGGTCCACATGCTCAGCAGCAAACCCTGTGGCAGCTGCATGGATGGCGTGGCAGCGCTGCAGCCTCTTGAACATCACATAGGTGTAGGCACAGTCTGCTGCTTGYGGGGCAAGTGCTCAGAGCTTGCTGCTGCTCTCCCAGCTGGCACKAACCCCTGTGTCTTGCCTTTCCTGCCAGCTGGGGCACCCAGCTGCTTTACCAATRGTTTCCACTCATCCCATTAAGTTGTCCCATAACACTGAGTTGAAGTGAACGAGTGGAAGTTCACAAATTTGGACAAAGCCTTTCCCCCACCTGGTGTTTGTCCCTTGCTGCACATGAAGGCAAAGGCCCTRCAGAATACAGCCCTGGCAGCTGTCCCCAGTGAGGTGTTTGGAAGGGTGCAGTGACAGCTCTGTGACTGCCGGGCTGCGAGGCAGGGGAGGTGCGGCCGCAGCACCCTGTGCTGGGCCAGCAAGGGAAGTCCTGCTGGAAGCAGGGTTTTTATCTGGGCTGCCTGGGCCTGGCGTTTGAATGCTTGGAAATGCTCTTGTCCAGATGTTTCCTAGCACACGCCGGCTCTGTTTATAAACAGCTCCTCAAAGCAAAGCCTGCTGGGGCTGCAGGCGGGCGCTCGCGGCTGGCCCCGTACAGCTCCCCTCACCATGGCACGGGGGCTGGGGCCACAGGTCACCTCTGTCCCCCTCCCATTTGGATGGGTCAGGGCAGTTAACAAAAGCCCCAAATGCCTCCTCTTCCTTTCTCCTCCCTTTCTCCCGGCAAGCAGCTTCCTGCCCCGATGTGTCCGGTGYTCACTGGCATCTCCGGGCTGCCTTCCTGGCCAGGCTTTTGCTGCYGGGGGCTCAGAGAGGAGGGCACGCTGCCCTGCCCAAACTGCCTGTTCCCAGGGAGATCCTGGCCACTCCAGGGGCTGGGTCAGGGAGACATTTCCATGGCATCCAGCTGGGTTCAGTTCCTTGATGTTCAGTTCCAAGGACATATCCTGACAGCACGCTCATCAAGCTCCTGGAGTGTTCCCCCTGCGTTTTGCCAAAATTTGAGGTGGGTGCCGAGGGCCAATGCTGTGCAGGACAGAGTGGAGTGGGTGCAGGCTGGCTCAGCTGTTTGGCTGGTTGTTGTGCTTCCCCGGCCCCATCTCCTTGAAGAGAACAATGCTCTCATAGTCACCACTCCTTCCACCTCTAACTGGGTGGAGGTGCCTTTCAGCCACTCTCTCTCTGTCCTGTCCCCTGCAGGACAACACCAAATCCCTCTGTTTGAAAGACAAAAGCCAAGAAAAATCCCAGCTAAACAGCTGCTGGCTGTGACCCCACCACCTTTCCCTGGGTTGGCCTGAGCCCAGCATGGCAAAGCTGTTGTGCTCAGCTGTGAGCAGGTTCCCAGCCCAGTGGCCCTGTGGAGCCACCTGCAGTTCGTCACATCCTGGATGTCACCTCAGCATCACTCCCTGGGGATGGCCCTGGCCCCAACAACCCTCCCTCCCAGCCCCACACCCCACTCACAACTGGGGGAGGATGGCCCTGTCACGCCAGCGCTGGGAGGAAGGGCTGAACAATTGCTGCCTGTCATTCTGTCTCCTCTTCCTGTAGAAAAGGGCACGTTATCAGCTGTCAGCTGGGGAACGGCATTGATGGAAAATTGACTCATTTGATACAGATTTGCTTTTGCYCCACCATGGCCTGCCAATGCCAAGGGCAGCCTGTCCTCTACTCCCCTTCTCTGGGAAGCACAGACACAACTGCTTAAAAGCTGAGTCCCCCTTCTGTGGGAAACTGGCACTTGGAAAATCCCTTTCCGTTCTGAATCAGGTGAAAGGGAGTGGTCTAAAGACCCTTAATGAAACGGGAAATGTCAGTGCTTTAATGGAAAGTTTTAAGGAAGTGATGATGCTCATGATTCTTCAGATCAGAAAATAAAGAAGATATTCGTTCAGAGTTGACGTCACTAATAGACCCACATTTTCTGCTGGTGGCTGTTGAGCCCTGGCTGTCACCTTGGCCAGTCTTGCTGTGCTGGGGATCCAAAGCACAGGCCAGAAGGGTGGGTTTGATAGTCTGATCTCTGTAGGAGTCCCTGAGCAAGTGCCTGTGGGAGTTGAACACGGATTCTTAGAAGGAAAATTTAAATTTAAATGTTTGCAGTGGAGGAGTACCTGCCTTGCCTCTGTAGCTGTCCCAGGGGCAAATGTCCCTGCATTTTCTTGTATCTGAGGGAGTCCTGCTTCAGCTTGCAAAGCATGGGACTACTTTAAACATTTGGGTGCTAAATCTACCAACAAGTTCTTGTGGTCTTGAGCTGCATGGAGAGTTTGGATGGTTTCGGGTTCGAAGAGGAGCCAGTGGAAGGCTTGACTTGTTCTTTYTAACAGTGTTACTCCTTGACATCTTCACAGCAAGGTGTAAAAAACCCTTCTGTAACTTTACCTGAAGTGTGAGAGCTGAAAGGAGACAGCAGTGCTGGCAGCCCTGGGCTATCAGACAGTGGTGGGGGCCACAGGTSCCTCCTGCCCTCCTCTGAACCACAGGCTCAGACAGCTCTCAGGTGCTCAGCTTGGCAGCAGAGGATGCTGTTTGAGGGAAGACGATTTTCAGACTCAATGGAAACAATATTGGAGGGTTGATCCAGCTGCTTGGGGAATAACATGGGATTAATTCAATTCCTGCAAGTGGGAGTAGCCAGTGTCTGTATGGTGAGGTGTGTTCTCTAATCCAGGACTGAGAAAGCAGCCAGACATTTCTGGGCTGCTTGCTTAGGTAATTGAAATTAGGACACTTCTGGTGGTTTGCCCAAGGCTCTGGGATGTGGTTTTGTCTCCCCACAGAGCCGTGTGAGCAGTCACACGATCCTGTGTCCACTTGCTCACCAGAGTGATGCTGGTAGAAACAAAAGGGGCTTTAGGAGATGGGAAGCAGACTGGTTTGAAGTCTGGGTGATATCCTGTGCACGGGATGGAGAAAAAGGCAGCCTGTGAAGCACTGGCTTCTCTGAGAGGCTGGGTGCCTCCAGATAGAAGACACGCACTGTGAGATCCCTTGGGTGGGTGGTAGATCCTGTGCTCTGATCCTGCCCTGCCCAGACTTGAGGYGGCTGCTCTTCAGGCTGCACTCCCTGACGTCCCTGTTCCTGTTCTTCCTCTCTTTCCAGGCACACCTTCTGGCAGTATCGCCGTGAGAACCCCCAAACCAAAGTGGGGGAGCCCCCTCCCGATGGGCTGCCAGGATTCAACAGTGGTGTCCTGCTCCTGAACCTGGAAGCCATGAGGCAATCCAAGCTCTACAACCAGCTGCTGGAGCCCACCATGGTGCAGAAGCTGACAGAGAAGTACCACTTCAAGGGCCACCTTGGGGACCAGGATTTCTTCACTATGGTGGGGATGGAGCACCCAGAGCTTTTCCACGTGCTTGACTGCACATGGAACCGGCAGCTTTGCACATGGTGGAGGGACCATGGATACAGCGATGTGTTTGACCAGTACTTCCACTGTGAGGGGGAGGTCAAAATTTACCACGGGAACTGCAACACCCCGATCCCTGAGGACTGAGGCCCCCCCGGCCCCCAGGAGCAGCTCTGACTGCAGCAGGACCTGCAAAGCCRTAGTGGCTGCACCAACAGTCCCTCAGGAAGGGTGACCAGCTCTGATCCAGCACATCCCAGGGGGATCGAGGGATCCCAAGAGCATTCAGTATCCTCCTGCCTTAGCCTCACTCTCCAAGAGGAAGGGCTGTTCAGTTGTTGGGACAGGACATCCACAGTTCRCTGTGTCCAGGGCTCAGCTCCTGGCTCTGCTTGGTGAAGCCCATGGTGCCCATGGGCACAGCCGAGGGGCCATCAGAGATTGCTGCTTCTGCTCCCTGGGTGCTGGGCAGCTTTGCCTTGTCCCATGGTCAGCAGGTGCCCCCCCAGGCAGTTGGGTTCCATTCATCATTCCTTGGTGACCCACTGCTGCACCTCATGCAGAGCCTTGGTCTGGTCCCTCCGGRGAGCAGACACTGTCCTCAGGTCATCTTCCTTTTGAAGCATTCCAGAAAGGCGAGCGGGCTTTAAAGGCTGAAAAGCTGCTTTAAATTGGGTCACTTACAAACAAAAGTTGAATGCTAGATGAGCTTTAAAGCCTTCAGTTGCTTCTTCTTAGCAATAAAAGCTTTACTGCCCTGTGTTGTCCTAGAAGTGTTCAGTGRGTGTGTAGCAATAGGTTCATTTTTCTAGCTTTGCCTTAAACCTTTCATAYGAGAATAAAGCTGCGGATGTCAGACACGCTCGGCTGTTTTTCTGTGGCACAACTGAAGTCCTGTGCAATAGGAGGTTTCCTGCTCTTATCATGATTAAAAAGTAGCTGATGTGTATCTGCTGGGCAGTTGAATGTGGTGCCCCATATAGCTTATCCCACATCTATGCTGTGGGAGTGGTGCAAATAAACAAGCTGGATTTTAAAATATCATCACTKCCATAGCCAAGGTTGGTTTGGAAGGAGCTGGGAATTGCCTGTGCTGTGAATGAGTGAGCTCCAGRCTGAGCAGGCTGTTCCCTAAATCAATGCTGCCTCGGTGAGCCCAGCTGGCAGGCGAGCTCCTGCACGGGTCTGTGTCAGGGACATCCACAGCTCATTAACCACCTCCAGCCCAGCTTGTTTGACACCCTGTGTGCATCTGGGTGATGTGCTGTGCTGTGCAAGACAGAGYGATGGGGACCTGATTGTGGCTTAACCTAATAACAGAACACACCATATGTGGCAGGAGTGCCTTGGGTTCCTTCCCCTGTGCCCAGGGAGAGGTTTATTAGGGGAGAGCTCTCCTCCCTTCAGCTGATGTGCASAGACACCAGACTGTGGAATGGGCTGGAGCCTGAGCCCTGCCCTGTCTGATGGGCTGAACCAACCCATTTCCAAATAGCACTAAACCTTATCTTTAAGTGTTTTCTTAGGGAAAGGGAAGGAGCAGCAAAGAGGTGATGAAAGGTGCAGGAAAGAAGCAGCACCCTGCTGTGTCAGACTCACGTTTTCACCAAAAAACAAGGTGATCCAGCCTCCCTGTGCAAGGCAAGGCAGGCACGCTTGCTGGAGGCTGCAGTGRGGCAGGATTTGGGGCAGGTGATGCTCCCTGAAGGATGAGGAGGGTTGCTGGTGCTTAGTGGTCAGGGTACACTGGTGGCACCAATGACACATGGGGCTTTCACATGCCAGGGCAGGACCTTGCCATAGTTTGGAAATGGCCACGCTGGAAATACAGGCCAGGCCACTTGTGCCACCAGCACTGGGAAGGGTGGGGTGGTGAGCAAACACAGCTTTTAGTGGGGACTGAGCAGCTCTGGGGTGGCTGTGAGTGTTGGATTGGCTTGGGAGCACCATGATGGGTGCTGCAGGGTGAGGCTCCCTGTCTTGGGAGCCAGGGCTCTTTGGGGTCAGAAGCGCACAGCCATCCCTGGAGATAGGCCAGGCACTGTTCAGCCTCTCCTGCAGCCAGTTGATGCTCTCCATAGGAYTGGGAACACTTTTCCCTCTCCTTGGAGTCCCGGGATCTGGGGGGGAAAACACCTACATGCGGCCACTATGGCCCTAGAGAGAAACTTTTTAACCTTTTGCTTAGATATTTTCCAGAAATAAACTCTTTTTCTTTTTTTCTTTGCTCAAAATCACAGTCCACTGGGAAACCCACTGCACATTTTTTCTCCAGCTAGGAAAAGCGTGGTTAAGTGAAACGTTTAATTGAGCTGTATGGGTTTTCCCCAGGCACCGCTCCCCTCCATCGCGGTCCCCGGGGCCGTGCCCGAGCGCAGTGAGCACCGCGCAGGGTTATTTATACACCCCGCACGTAGCCAGAGYCGCGCTGCTGTGTAATTATCTCCCCTTCATGCCCTGCTGATTGCAGGCACTAATGAGCTCAGCTGCAGAGCGCCGTGGCTGCCCGGGATGGACTGTGGGCTGTGGGCTCAGCCTGTCCGGAGGGTGCTGCCGCCGGCTCCGCTCCGGCCACGGGCAGGGCCGGCTGTGCTCGGCCGGAGCGGCAGCACCCTGAGGTGTCCGGCTGTACCCTGAGGTGTCCGGCTGCCCAGGACCCCCACAGGCTGCCACTGCACTAAGTGCCCAGCCTGCTGGTGCCTGCTGGGCCATCCCGTGCATTTCCTGCAATGGAAATTCCTGGGAGAATGGGGACTCTCCTTCCCAATCCTCCTTTGCCCTCTTGCTGCAGCCCACCCTCAGACAGGTGTTGTTCCAGGCACACGTTCAGACCTGAGCGTTCCCTCCTGCTCCTGGGGTGCTGGCCCAAGGCCACCACAACCAGGACCAGCAGCTGCCAGCACCATCATGGTAAAAGATGCCCAGAAACCATTAAGCAGCCCCAGTTTACCCGTGGGCACTGGGGTTTGCTGTGGTGACCCTGTGGCAGCAGCCCTGGCACTGGGGTTTGCTGTGGTGACCCTGTGGCAGCAGCCCTGGCACTGACAGGCAGCTCCTGGTTTCCTGGACTGGTTTTCCATGTCCTTATGCCAGCGCTGGCCCCTGCCTAGCAGAGAGCGTCTGCAGACTCCAGAGCCTGGCTGTGGGTTGGGTGGAGCCCCTCTGGAGATGCAGCTGGATAAAGGCAGCACTCGGGAGAGGGCAGGTGGGGACATGGTGCTGTGACACAGCAATAGGGGGACGCAGCCATGGGGAGCAGGAGTCCTGTCCTGGTGGTGAGGGATGGGGCACACTGCACCCCTGGGACAGCTGTGGGGGCCCCAGCCAGAGTCTCTGGAAGAACATGGTGGGTTTTACTCTAAGGTTACTCAGCCCAGAGCTTCTCCGACACAGATTCCTGCTGCTTGTCTTCTCACCTGCTGGCTCACAGCAAAGTTCTGCTTGTGTCAAGAGCCCCATGTTTTTCCAGGGTGGAGAAGGGGATGGGAGAGCAAAGGTGCCTCCTTTATAGAAGATCAGACTGTGGAAAGTCACTTAAGCTTTAGGGAAAAATTCAGTTTCTTTTAGCATTGAGCATTCATGAAAAATCGCATGTAGAGAAAACAGCATTCGTGATTTTTTTGTCCAGCTTTGCTTCCAGCCCCRAGCTGGAGCTGCATGGGATTTTTGCTCCCCTCTCCTGCATTTCATAACACGATCAGTGTTTATTCTCTTACTCATTTGTTCTTCTTTCCYATTTGAAATGATCAATTGTTGGTATAAACTCACCTAGGGAGCAATTACTGTGAGCCTAACCCAAACAGGCACTGGGGTGCTCCATTAAGCAATATCACCGCCCTCCCTCTCCGCTGATCCCAGAGGATACAATATTTACTTTTCAGCTCTGCTATTCATACCGAGCGCACTTCGGTCAGCGTGCCAAGAATAACACAAAGCCTAACAACAGGCTTCAGCGCTAAGATGGAGTTCCTGATTTTACAAACCAAAAAAAAAAAAAAAAAAAAAAAAAAAAAAAGCCAACCTATTATTTTGCCTTTGCTAAGAAATGCCTGGCAGCAGCAGAGCAGGCAGGCACCAGAACCACCCCTCTGTCTTCAACAGAGCCGTGGGCAGCGTGAAATCTGTCCTGAGGGATGCAGAAAAAGGCCGAAAAAAAAAGAGCAGCAAGCCTGGGACACGGATCGACAACTGCCTGCCTTTCCTTTTGATATGGATTTTATTAGGTTGCTGCAATGTTTTGTGAGCTTTCCCCCAAAAGCTCTGCAGAGCCATGGAGGGACACATTCCCCAGCACCTGTAGATTTTTCACACAGGTTTTCAGTAGCTYTGTCTCTGACCATCACAATCCTCTGAGGATTTAATTACTAATTGCACAGAAATTGCTGCCCAGTCCTGTAGCCTTTTCATTGCCAGCAGGGTCTGCTTTGTCCAGTTCTCCTCTGGAAATTATTTATTCACTAATCAGCYGCTAACAAGGGAAGCACTTGGAGCAAATTACCTTCCTGAGGTATTCCATGGGCATTAGCTCTTATTGTACCGAGTGTTAATTTAGACAATTTGCCTACCTGAAGGAAAAGCTGTAAAAAGCAGAGTCTGGAGCTGTCAGAATGAGCCAGGTCTGGACTTGAAGGGAGGTTTGGCATTGCCCACCAGTGAGGGGATTGTCCCTCCAAATTGCTCAGCAGYTTGTGGGGTGTTCCTGAGAGCCAAGTTTGTTTGCTGAGGGCAGATGTTGCTGTTGTGGCAGGTAGGACACCATGGCCTGGGGTTCCACCTCCCTTGGAACAGGTGAACACCTTCGAGCTCTTTCTCCTGGCTCATTCCTGATGGATTTGGCAGTGTGCAGCCCTGGCAGGGCACTGTCCCCAGTGACAGCCTGCACCAGCACAGCTCCAGTGCCAGCTTCTCCTCCTGCTCCTGCTCAGCCATCATTCAGCAGCAATTTGTGACCCTGCTGGGGACAATCCTAAAGCTGTGCAAGCCACAGGCTGCCAGCAGAGCCCTGTTCACAGAAGGCACTGCAAGGTCTGTCTGCATTTATCACCTACAGACCTCCTGTTCTCAGTGCATTCTGCAGCTGTTGAAAAGTTTGGGGCCTTTGTCACAACACATCCCTTCCTTGGAGCTGGTCGGATAAACAGACACTTTCAGATCCTAAGGACAGTATCAGTTTAGGGAATAAATCACTTGTGGATGCCCTGTGGCACACGGGGCTCCAGGCAGTGTGTCAGAAAGAAAAGCTGTATTTTTTTTTTTTTTTTGCTGTGTGCTTTTCTCTTTCAAACTCATTTCTTTTCTATGCTGGAGGACTTCTTTGGCTACCTTGGGAACTCAGCAAAGTCATTCCCTTCATAATCTGCTGAGTTCAAGGGAGAGGGGAGTTTTATATGGAATGCTTAAAACACCAGCAGCAGTAGGGGAGAAAAAGAATGGATGTGTGAGMTTGGGTCCCTCAGCTGTGAAATGGGGGCATGGAGAGCTGGTAAAGGATGCTCAGCTGAGATGACAGGCCCTATGGTCCTGCAATCAAAATCATTATCTGGAAAATGGGGTATAATGGTGACATGGCAGAACCTGCCACTGATGCTGAGCTGTTCAGGAGAGAGAAATGGAAAGCCAGTGTGAAGAACTGCAGAAAATGTGGCTGATTCAGAGCAGTGGGTGATCAAATGGGAACAAAATTCRTCACTGGTGATGCTGGGTGGTGCAGATGTAGAAGGACATAATCCAAGGGTACAGAGTAGAGCTGTGGAGAGCAGGAAGGCGATCTGGGAGGCAACACATCCCCCCAATTCCTCACTTTGCTGAGGCCAAGCACCCACCTGCAGGGGGAAGACCAGGATGGGCTCACCAGGAGCACCCACTTGAGCAGCTGCTCTGTGGGCACAGGGCAGGAGAACCGCTGGTGCAGGGCAGGCAGGTGGGCKACATGGCCAAAATGCCAGGCTGTGCTCTGCCTGACTGTGCATCCTGCAGGCTGCACTCACAGAGCCACAGCTTCGGCCTCGAGAACACCCTTGGGCTGTGCTCCATCAGCCACCGAGGCTGTGCTGAGCAGAGCACTGTGCATCAGCTCTGAAAAGCCATCCCCAGGGATTAAAGCAGCCTTCAGGTTAAGGACAGGGATGGTGCAGCTGAGGAGAATCAGCAATGTTCACACCCTCTCCTGGAAACAAATGAAATTTTGCAATTCTGCAGKATCTGTGCTCAGCGGTTTGGGGAACTCTTTGCTACAGAAAAGCAAAGGTTTCCAGTAGCAATTTTTGTTCAGTAACTGGAAAAGATGTAAAAATGTCCTGGCATTGTAAACCACTGCACTCTGCAGAAGGGAAACAGCAGTGCCTGGAGTCCAGCAGCACTGGGGTGTATTCCAGTTAAATAATGGGAATTCACTGTAATGCCTGTGCAGAAGGAAGATGGCAATCCTGTGCCAACGTTCAAAGGAGAAGGCTGGTAACCCCAAGGTAGCAGCTTGATTCCCAATTTAGGCAAAAGGATGGGAAAACTGGTGTAAGATTCACCAGATATTTTCCAGKTCAAAAAGATTTTACCTGGAAAAGRTKCAGGAACAGATGTAGAAGAAAATTCCATAGGGTGGAAGAGATACTGGAGGTCAGCACACCGTGCCTGTGCTGACACCCCTGGGTTTCACATTTTTAAAGCAGCCAGCATTGCAAAAATAAGAAATACACGAAGTCAGCATTATTAAAGCAAATGTAATGAAATATCCTATCATGAGTCATTTACTTGTAAACCTCAACAGTTTTTCAGCAGATGCCACTAAATTTCTTTCAYCAGTCATTGCTCTGCTGAAGTTTTACCAGCAAATAACAAGGATATAAAATGCACAGTGTTTCACCTTCTCCTYCCCTGAAGAGCTGTGTATAATAGGCTGCATTATCAAATAATCATAATAAAGGAAGCTTTTAAACCATGCTGGGCTGAGTAGCAAATGCCAAGGYAGTCATACATTTGTCATAAAAACACAGTACCAGGTTCTTAATGAGTAAATGTGTCAGCTGGTAGCATCACATACAAATCTTGAAGCTTGCTTCTCTGGTCTCCAGTATGAAGAGTAGCATAGGAGGGTGGCAGAGCATGTTTGGGGGAGATCTCTGGCAGCCAGAATTCCTCCTGGAGGAGCAGCAACACTAGAAAGCAAAGTTGCCCTGTCCCCAAAGTCACATCTAGGACAGGACATG